CGCGACCGGCTCTTGCTAATTCGCTCGCCCAAAAATTTCACGTGACCTTGGTTTTTATGGTTTTGCAGCGGTACAAAACAATTTTACATAAACCCTAATATAATCCCAACCATAACCCCGAAGCTATCCATTTTTTATGGTTTTGCAGCGGTACAAAACAATTTTACATAAACCCTAATATAATCCCAACCATAACCCCGAAGCTATCCATAACCCGCGTACCTTAACCCAAACCCTAACATGAGCCCTAAATAATCGAAATCATGTTTTTGTCACGTGACTAAAACGGTTTTTGCCCATGTAACTCTCAAGGGAAATATTTTTACCCTACGTCATGGCGGGTGATTCGGGATCAGCGTCCAAAAAATACACCGATTTAGATCAATGTCATACCCAAAGGCCTTTTCACAAGAATTTTTTTTTAATTTGGGCGAGCGATTTCGTAGGATGTAGGAGCGATTCAATTTAAACGCGCAATCTGGCGCGGTTTATTTGTTGCAGTTTTACTATCTAATAACCAAATTTTACAAGCAATCTCAGCACGCCTGCACGCGCACGGCTTTACTAGCGTATATATACATTACTTTTTTCCTATTGGTACTCAGCGTGCACTTGTTTTTATGTCCACGATTGATTATGAACAAGTACGTGAATGCTGGTCACGCACACACTAACTTTCAATGAGCACCGCACTTTTTTCAGACGTCGTGATTCGCTCAGCCCGACTAGAGATTCCTTGGAATGACATAAACAGGCCTGTCATACTCGTTGACAGACTGAGCGTGGCCCAGCGCAATAATTTAATTTCATATACTATATATTTCTTTTGCAAGTTCTGAATGTGAAGTGTGTATGACTGATGACGCAGCGCGCATCGACCGCCACCAGGACAACCACCACCATTAACAACATATAAATAAACGCTTGCAAGCGCTATACAATTTCTGACAATTATTGTCGGAGAACTTTGCCGCGCCGTGCACTTAGCCTTCTTGCTTGGCTTCTAGATCGCCAGTCAAACAACTATGTTTAAATCCATGTTGATGAATGATAGATAAATCGGTAAAAACCAGCAATAAAAAGTGTTTGTAATCGCTTATAACTTATAACCGCTTTTCAAATCCTTAGGGGCAGCATTAAAAAAGCGCTTATAAGCGCTTTCTAATTCCTGCCAACCAGCCCATGGGTGATGGGAAAAGCGGTAGATAAGCCATCATAAGCGCCTATAAGCGCTTTTAAATCCTGACTCTGCCGGTGCACCCCAGTTTGCTCAGAAAAGCACATACGAGTGGGCACTCTCCAATTCCGACCAGGTTGAAGGGAATTGAGAAATCGCTTATAACTATAAGCGCTTTTCATTCCGGGCACTCCCCCGTGCCGACCAGGTTAGGGGCAGCATTGAAAAAGTGCTTTTAATTCCGGGCACTCCCCCGTTACGACCAGGTTAGTGGCAGCATTGAAAAAGCGCTTATAAGCGCTTTCTAATTCCTGCCAACCAGGCCATGGGCGATAGGAAAAGCGGTAGATAAGCCATCATATTCATAAGCGCCTATAAGCGCTTTTAAATCCTGACTCTGCCGGTGCACCCCAGTTTGCTCAGAAAAGCACAAACGAGTGGGCACTCTCCAGTTCCGACCAGGTTGAAGGGAATTGAGAAATCGCTTATAACTATAAGCGCTTTTAAATTCCGGGCACTCCCCCGTTCCGACCAGGTTAGGGGCAGCATTGAAAAAGTGCTTATAAGCGCCTTTTAATTCCGGGCACTCCCCCGTTGCGACCAGGTTAGTGGCAGCATTAAAAAAGCGCTTATAAGCGCTTTCTAATTCCTGCCAACCAGGCCATGGGCGATAGGAAAAGCGGTAGAAAAGCGATCATAAGCGCCTATAAGCGCTTTTCAATCCTGACTCTGCCGGAGCACCCCAGGTTGCACAGAAAAGCACTTATAAGCGGGCACTCTGATTTCCAGTTCCGACCAGGTTAAGGGGAATTCAGAAATCGCTTATAAGCGCATATTAATTCCAGGCACTCCCCCGTTCCGACCAGGTTAGGGGTAGCATTAAAAAAGCGCTTAAAATTCTTGCCAACCAGGCCATGGGTAATGGGAAAAGCGGTAGAAAAGCGATCATAAGCGCCTATAAGCGCTTTTAAATCCTGACTCTGCCGGTGCACCCCAGGTTGCACAGAAAAGCACTTATAAGCGGGCACTCTGATTTCTAGTTCCGACCAGGTTAAGGGGAATTGAGAAATCGCTTATAAGCGCTTATTAATTCCAGGCACTCCCCCGTTCCGACCAGGTTAGGGGTAGCATTGAAAAAGCGCTTAAAATTCTTGCCAACCAGGTTATGGGTAATGGGAAAAGCGGTAGAAAAGCGATCATAAGCGCCTATAAGCGCTTTTAAATCCTGACTCTGCCGGTGCACCCCAGGTTGCACAGATAAGCACTTATAAGCGGGCACTCTCCAGTTCCGACCAGGTTGAAGAGAATTGAGAAATCGTTTATAAGCACCTTTTAATTCCGGGCACTCCCCCGTTGCGACCAGGTTAGTGGCAGCATTGAAAAAGCGCTTATAAGCGCTTTCTAATTCCTGCCAACCAGGCCATGGGCGATAGGAAAAGCGGTAGAAAAGCGATCATAAGCGCCTATAAGCGCTTTTAAATCCTGACTCTGCCGGTGCACCCCAGGTTGCACAGAAAAGCACTTATAAGCGGGCACTCTGATTTCCAGTTCCGACCAGGTTAAGGGGAATTCAGAAATCGCTTATAAGCGCATATTAATTCCAGGCACTCCCCCGTTCCGACCAGGTTAGGGGTAGCATTGAAAAAGCGCTTAAAATTCTTGCCAACCAGGCCATGGGTAATGGGAAAAGCGGTAGAAAAGCGATCATAAGCGCCTTTAAGCGCTTTGAAATCCTGACTCTGCCGGTGCACCCCAGGTTGCACAGAAAAGCACTTATAAGCGGGCACTCTGATTTCTAGTTCCGACCAGGTTAAGGGGAATTGAGACATCGCTTATAAGCGCTTATTAATTCCAGGCACTCCCCCGTTCCGACCAGGTTAGGGATAGCATTGAAAAAGCATTTAAAATTCTTGCCAACCAGGCCATGGGTAATGGGAAAAGCGGTAGAAAAGCGATCATAAGCGCCTATAAGCGCTTTTAAATCCTGACTCTGCCGGTGCACCCCAGGTTGCACAGAAAAGCACTTATAAGCGGGCACTCTGATTTCTAGTTCCGACCAGGTTAAGGGGAATTGAGACATCGCTTATAAGCGCTTATTAATTCCAGGCACTCCCCCGTTCCGACCAGGTTAGGGATAGCATTGAAAAAGCATTTAAAATTCTTGCCAACCAGGCCATGGGTAATGGGAAAAGCGGTAGAAAAGCGATCATAAGCGCCTATAAGCGCTTTTAAATCCTGACTTTGCCGGTGCACCCCAGGTTGCACAGAAAAGAACTTATAAGCGGGCACTCTGATTTCTAGTTCCGACCAGGTTAAGGGGAATTGAGAAATCGCTTATAAGCGCTTATTAATTCCAGGCACTCCCCCGTTCCGACCAGGTTAGGGGCAGCATTGAAAAAACGCTTATAAGCGCTTTATAATTCTTGCCAACCAGGCCATGGGTGATGGGAAAAGCGGTAAAAAAGCAATCATAAGCGCCTATAAGCGCTTTTAAATCCTGACTCTGCCGGTGCACCCCAGGTTGCTCAGAAAAGCACATGCAAATGGGCACTCTCCAGTTCCGCCCAGGTTGAAGAGAATTGAGAAATCGTTTATAAGCGCTTTTTAATTCCGGGCACACCCCCGTTCCGAACAGGTTAGGGGCAGCATCGAAAAAAACGCTTATAAACGCTTTATAATTCTTGCCAACCAGGCCATGGGTGATAGGAAAAGCGGTAGAAAAGCGATCATAAGCGCTTTTTAATCCTGACTCTGCTGGTGCACCCCAGGTTGCTCAGAAAAGCACTTATAAGCGGGCACTTTGATTTCCAGTTCCGACCAGGTTAGGGGCAGCATTTAAAAAGCGCTTATGAGCGCTTTTTAATTCCGGGCACTCCCCCGTTCCGACCAGGTAAGGGGCAGCATTGAAAAACGCTTATAAGCGCTTTATAATTCTTGCCAACCCATGCCATGGGTGATAGGAAAAGTGGTAGAAAAGCGATCATAAGCGCCTATAAGCGCTTTTAAATCCTGACTCTGCCGGTGCACCCCAGGTTGCTCAGAAAAGCACATGCAAGTTCCGACCAGGTTAAGGGGAATTGAGAAATCGCTTATAAGCGCTTTTAAATTTTGGGCACTACCCCGTTCCGACCAGGCTAGGGGCAGCATCGAAAAAGCGCTTATAAGCGATTTTTAATTCCTGCTCACCTGGCCATGGATGATAGGAAAAGCGGTAAAAGCGGTGAAATAGCGATGAATTAGCCGTATTAAGCGATTTCTAAAAAAACGCTTATAATCGATTATAAGCGGTTATAAGATGTAATATAGCGTTTTTCTGACTCAATTTTAAAAGCGCTTATAAGCGCTTTATTTGCGCTTTACAAACAGCTAAATTGCACCCCAATTATAAGCGCTTATAATCGCTTATAAATGGTTCAAAAAAGCGCATACAAATCGCTTATCCGGCCAACCGCTTATCCACCCGTTTTTGGCGCCAATCCTACTGGAAAACCGCTTTCAAATCGCTCAGCGACGCTAGTAAGCGCTTAAAAGCGCTTATAAGCGCTTTTAAATTCAAAAAAGCGCTTTTTTGAATTATGACACCAATTATAGTCGATTATAAGCGATTTTTTTTGAACCGTTTATAATCGTAAAAAAAGCGATTGTAAACGGTTTTTTTTAAAAAAAGCGCCGAAAAAGCGCTCAATAAGCGATTATCGGCGACGATCATAAAATATCGTTTATGGAAACTTGCCCTAAATCTTCCTCTAACATGCAATTTTCTTTTATTTAGATGATGATTGTTAATGATTTTAGCATATTATATTTCATCCTTATCCTTTAGGATAGCCATGATAGGTAACTATACCCACTAGATGCCTCCATCTTGATGGGTTGGTTGTAGAATGCAAATTCCTAATGTGATCGGTAACTATGCTATTGGGGAAAAGATCGGAGAAGGCAACTATGCAGAAGTCAAGCTTGCGACACATTGCCTCCTTAAGCAGAAGGTTTTAAAAATGTTCAAAGATCAATTCCTGATATCTTTCAAGTGAACCTATTGGCCTCAGGAATAAAATTAATGAGTTAATTTAATTGATCATCTAAGTCCAAATCCTTATTTTTTACAGAAAGTGTAGTTCACTCAACTTATAGTATGGTCTCTGAATTGCTGTTTAAAAGTATCTTGTTTTGAGGGGAAACTCATGCTAGAAGAGATCATATTAGTGTGCATTATCATAAATTAAAAATGTATAGATTAAATATATTCATACAATTTCAGGTTGCCCTCAAGATTATCAACAAGAGTGCTCTCTCTCAAAATGATGTAGATAAAATCAACCGTGAGGTTAAAATTATGAAGGTGATTTGTTATGTATTATGTAAACAAATTATGCTTTGATTCAATTTGACGTGGAGTGAAGTAGTGAGCTGCTGCAATGTATATTTTAAGGTTGAAAATTTGACAATTGACTATTTAAAAAATTAGATTCATCATGCTAATTCCAAAAATTGAATTTATACCGGATTCATAAATTAATCAATAATCTTAATGCCTGGAATTAACTGTGTCAGGACCACGAGCTCTTTGACTGTTTCTTGGGTAAGAGATCAAGAAAGAGAGCTAATAGTCAGCACTCAGCATTATGTCGTTCACAATTAATTGTAGATCTTGCTGTATATTTAATGGGCAAAATAATTGTCACATACTGTTCTGAGTGTATATATTCTAGATTGTACAACAGAATGTTTCTAGGTGTTGCATCATCCGAATATTATACGATTGTACCAAGTTATGAGGGACAGTTCAGACAGACTTTACATGGTTACTGAGTATGCTTCCGGGGGCGAACTTTACAGTAAGTATCATTAATTTAACGTCCTACAACAAAAGCACTATATTTTTCAATGTGATTAAATCGAAGTTGGAGAATTCATTTAAGGGGGCAGGGGGGGTCTTTATGAAATTTCTCTCGAAATTGATTTTATAGTTGTTTCTGATAGAAGGGAGTGATAGTTATCGCCGGTCAAATCAGAATTTTGAAAATCTTGGACCTCGTTTTTTGACGATTTTTCCAGGTCCAAGATCGAAAAAATAATTTTCTAAGGCATACCTTAAAATTCTGATCGAACAGAATCTTCTAAATGGTCCTTGGAACATATCCTGAAAGTTGTAAGGTGATTGCTCAAAAAAATGTAGGAGAAGATAGATCTTTAGACTCGATCTTCAGGGCGCACGATTGAAAATCGCTCGCGCAATACAATTACACATGAGCGCTGACCTTTGACCGGCGATAACTTCGGCTAGGAACAATATTTTTCCATGGGACCAAAAGCAGCTGATAGATATCACTACCCTCCATCAGAAACAACTATAAAATCAATTTCGAGAGAAATTTCATAAAGACCCCCCCCTGCCCCCTTAAGATCTTTGATTTTGTCACAATCGCCATTCATGTCCTCTTGATCGACATTCGACATTTATAGTGCTGAACTCACAATTTAACAGTGAAGTTAAATATAAACACTTTGATTTAAACCTAACTTATACCAATGCCAGGTTACCTAGTAAAGTTCCGGTGTATGGAAGAAAGTCAGGCTAGGAACATCTTCTCCCAGCTGCTCTCAGCGCTGGAGTTCTGTCATTCCCGGAATGTAGTGCATCGTGACATCAAGGTACGTGGGTTTTTGGTAATATTTTGGGAAAAAAATTTGGTAGACAAAATATTTGCTTGTGAGTTGTGTATCATCCAATGGGCCGCTGTCAGCTTTGTCTCAGCCACAGTTTTACTATACACAGTTCAGTAAACTGTGTAAATGAGTAAGCAAGTTTGTTGCATGATCATGAATAGGTTTTGCAATCAGGGTGGAACGGAGTTGAAACTTTAGTTTGGAGTTGAAACTTTAGTCGGAGCCGGCCCCGGTCTTTCACAATTCATCAGAAAATTGTCTTTTTTCGTGTTTATGTGTGTAAAACATACATACTATTCCTCATTCCTGTCAAGCATTTTCCGGAGCAGGGATAAAATGGCTTATAACTACTAAAGTACTAACTAGGGTGGGGATCTCGGTTAAGTTCTTATTGCAATGTTCGCGTACGTCATAATCAATCAACTCTGCAACCTCTACTTAGGTGTCGCAATCACTAAGCAGTTTAAGGAGATGATTCTTAACACCCTGTCTGGTCTAGTAGATGTAGGGTTTAATAGTTTAATCCTTATAACTCTGTATGGGGCCGGGGGGGGGGGGTGCCATTTTTTGGAATAGTAGCTTTAAAACCGGGTAATTTAAAACCGTGTAATTTTGGATACTACGAATTTGAAGATGAGGGGAAATGGGGGGTAAAACGGAGTAAAATTTGTCAACGCTTAAGCATATAAAAGTCCCATTTGAAAATGTTTAGATTCTGGCACTTCTGGATACAGCGTTTATCAAGTTTTCTAAAACAATTTCTTTAGTCTCCACTCCCCTTTTGTTGAGAGATTAAACTCTTTGCTGAAAAGTGGACAGATTTCAAAAAATAGGGCTTTCCACCTTCCACAGCATTAACGGTATGACTTATTAAGCATAAATAGAATACTGAAATACCATAGTTATTATATAGTCAAAATATTACATATCTTCTTAGAGATGATAATATATATTATTATATATATATAACTCATTCTTCCTTTTTTTTTTTTTTTTTGGTCGAGGGCGCTCACTCTACCTCCCCGGATTAGCAAGGAGGCTACGTCCGCCTTGTGGCTAACGTCTGATGGAGCTCCTTTGAACTGCAGGCTTTGTACCTTTTGCTCTGCTTGGCATGGGGTTCGCAGAGCCCGCTACGTCCAAAAGACATAACATAGTTATGACCCGGTGGATCGGCGATGACCCTAAGGTTATCTGCCATAATGATCCGTCATCGAGAGACTCCATAGAACCCGTCTGGAGTCAGGTGTCGAGACACTCTCCCGGAAAAGGTAGTGCGTTACTTCGAGGAACTACCACCGCATTATGCTAGCGGGCCTGCCCTGGTGATCCTCGAGGTTGTGTCGTGCTTTTAGTATTTAGGAGGATCGACTTGAGATGATATTATACTCGAACCCTGGTGTGATGTTCCTTTGGTTTATCTTTGGTTTCACGTATTTATCTTTTGACGTCATGTGATGCCGTTTGTGAAGTAGTCTATAGTTGCTCGTGAAAATATGTTCGTGCGCGGTATTTCTATGCTAGTTTGCCTTGGCGCTTTCCAGACTCTTCCTGTTGTAGAGCGCTCACTTTGGAGTTTTAGTGATATTCCGTGGTTTATATGGTTTTGCGGCTGGTTCAATAATGTCAATTTTTCCATGACTGGATGGGTTATTTTGTCCACTTTCCGTGGCGGAGTAGAGAGTGCCAGTCTCTGTGTTTGAACTGCTGATGTGATTGAGTGAGTGAGATGCTGCATTGCTACTGGCTGACTCGCCAACAGCAATGCAAGTCCAAGAAGAAAGAAGGAGAGACACTGTCCGTTTTCTGGGTGATCCACCACCGACAGTGCTCCCACTTCTGTGGGGCTGAGGGTGTTGGCTCCAAGAACCAGCCGTGAGCAAACAGCGCCTGACCCGCTCTGTGGTTAACTTGAGAATAATAGGACTATGCCATTCTCCAGGCCAATCCGTTCAGTAACCAGCTGACCCAGCACCACCTCTGATGGAAGATGTGGTTCGGATTGGACTTCGCTAGGATTTGTCAGTTTTTCTGTAGACACTAATGCTCCCTCGAGGAGAGACATGAGCCCCGGCGAAACTGATTAAAAAACGTGACAAGGATTCTCACCCTGACTCATTCTTCCTGGATGGCACCTCAAATATACCCAGGATTGGGATAAAAGTGATTGGGTTGGGTGTGGGTCGTGGGAGTTGGGGTGGGGGGAGGGAAGAGGGGCGTCCAAGAAACATATTAGTGACACGAAGGGGACTGTGGTAGATGATAGTATTGAGACTGGTAAAACCAGACATACCACGGCACACAAACCTAGAAGAATTTGAGAATACATAATTTTTAGAGAACTTTGGCCTCTGCCAATTATTTAAAATAGTTTGTCTCGAGCATGAATTTCTGACTGATTGAGGTAACTTCATTTATAATACCTCGTCGCAATAAAAGGACTTCCAACAGTTTAAGAGTAAAACTTCATTCACATTTCATTCAGGTCTTGAATACGCTGATGTAGTTAGTATTTTAACTCTATTTTGAATACTATTATAGTTAATTCCACGTGTATTTTACTTCATTGCGCAATTTTCACCGACTAGTTATAGTGGTTTGCTTCGATCCTGCACGCTGTGATCTTGATTCTTGTACGCTCCGTTTCGCTATACAGTCATGCAGTGTCAGCAAGAATCTCCACACTTACTGCCATGACGGGGTGTCTTCTCGTTAGAGTTCTGTTTGGTTACGCTGAGTTATCGTAAACGGTTTAATTTAATTTATAAACTGAAAGAATCAAGGACTCAGATCTGAAAATAGAAAATTATGTCATGTAAAATTAGGTATTAACACTTATACTTGAAATAATAAGAGTTACTGCGAAAATTATGATACTGCCATACTTAAAAATTATAATACTGTTACTTATTTTAGACAAAATTTTCGAGTGTGCTATTCTCCCAAAATTGAGCATTTGTGTCTGTCCTTTATATCATTAATGTGTTTACAAATAAATTGTTCGTCAAGTTAAAGAACCATGTGTAATTGTAGTGTGAGTTTTGAGCCTAAGTCAGAGTCTAGTCAAAATCAGGACGTGAAATTTAACTTTTGTCATATGGTTTCACTGTACGCTGTCACTAATTACGCAGCTGTTATATATATAACACTGGCTAACAAATGTAATGGGAGGTTGTGATGTGTTAAATATGTTAAAACTCTGAACAAATATTAGAACAAAAGAGTGATCTCAGTTTTTTAGTCTGATTCAAAGGCTTCGTTGCCGCACTGACAAGGGGATGTTATGCACTCCGCCCCCCTCTTTGATTAACATTTAGAATGTGTTCTATAATTGGTAGAATTTACAGTTAATCAATTGCTGACAAAGTGGGAGCTCTGACAAAGTGTGAGCTCTGACTGACGACTGGTGGAGCGTCACATATAACTTATAAACTTGTGGGCTTTATCGGGTTGAGGGTTGGTTTAAAACGGTTTTGTCAGGGTAGCTGTCACCTGATTTTTGGGTGATTTCCATGTTAGGAACTTCATTTAAACTCGTTGATAATTTGGGTTTAACTCCATATTTTGGGATATTTTATCATTAAGATCCATTTCACGGATTTATGTTTTGAATGAAGATATTCAAGAGAATGAGTCCACTGGTTTTGACTTTCTTCACAGTTGACGTGTAATCAGGGCCTTATATTTGTTACCCGTTTATCCTTCTGTGAAACTAGACTCTGAGTATTACAATAAATTTATAATTAAAAAGACTTATTTGGTGACATGGCAGTAGAGATACTGACTAAATGGGTTAAATGTTTGAATAGTGAATCGTGTGACAGTGTCCAGTGTCCACGAAGTTAAATTTCGCAACGGTAATTCATAGGTTTCACGTTATCCCGTGCCCAAGAAGAGGTTGTGAGGAATCAAAATGTATAATTACTATAATTATCACAATATTTAATAGATTAATATTGTTTTAATCTATTTAATATAATCTATTTTAATTGCCTAACAATTAATACGATCTCACTCCAGTATCGTGATTCAACTTGTCTTCCTATATAAGGTAAGCGGTGTCAAATCGTCGAACCGATCATAATATGATGTATAAGGCATGTATTTATTATATATTGGTGGCGTATCGAGCGAAGCAGCTTTAACCTCAAATGTCCACGACGTTTTTTAATGAACCTGCAGTAACCATCGCAGTTCTGAGGCTATTTGATAAAATGTCTTGATATTTTCTTGGAGGATGGCATGGAGGGAGGGCAAGGAGACTGTAGAAAATATTATATAATGAAGGAGATATGCAATATATGGTGTTAAAGGGAGTGGACACTAAAAATTATCTGCCCAAACTGACTGGTATATTTTTTGGATTTAATGGGCGGAAGTGCAGTATTGCTAGCAAAATTAATAAATCGTAGATTCTTCCTTTATTAAGATCATTAGAGTTTAACTCGGTTCATCTGAAATTTTCGACAAGGAGATTTTTTACTGAGCTTTTGACGATGTAGCGATCCAAATAATGATATAAAAATATTCTATAAAGCAATAGAAAGTTCTGAACCGATCTTCTTATTGGTTGATCACTTGACACTGTCTCGTGATTGGTTCCCAGTACCGGCACCTGATTGGTCAACAGTTCCCAACACAACAGCTGTGATTGGTCAACCACAATCCCACACGTCCCCGTGATTGGTCCCTGACCTGTCACGTGGTCAATTTCCCTGTTCAATTAGCGCGTTGTCTGGGACAATAAGGAAACCGTAGGTTAACTTTCAAATTAAGCCTGTATCTAGTATACACGATACTGGATTAACCTAACTTGCTTTCTGGCATTTGTGACTGAGATATCAAGACCAGATATTTATATTAACTTAGCAGCGTTGTCAGAGCGCATGTAAGAGCTCTGTTAGAGTACACTGTTAGAGTACACTGTTAGAGTACACTGTTAGAGTACACTGTTAGAGTACACTGTTAGAGTACACTGTTAGAGTACACTGTTAGAGTACACTGTTAGAGTACACTGTTAGAGTACACTGTTAGAGTACACTGTTAGAGTACACTGTTAGAGTACACTGTTAGAGTACACTGTTAGAGTACACTCTGTTAGAGTACACTGTTAGAGTACACTCTGTTAGAGTACACTGTTAGAGTACACTGTTAGAGTACACTGTTAGAGTACACTGTTAGAGTACACTGTTAGAGTACACTGTTAGAGTACACTCTGTTAGAGTACACTGTTAGAGTACACGATCGCTGTTCAGTGCTGGTCGGTTTACCCATTAAAGGGTTAAAAATCAGGACTATAAATTAAGGTGAACCACTTAAATACGTCGTTGATATGATTAATCAAGTGGTTCGAAGTACTTACTGAGACGTGCACTCCTCGCTGTACGGTCACATAGTTAGCTTGGAGCATATCACGTGGTAGTGTATGTGACGTCGCTATTTAATGGGTGACGTCACGCTATTTAATGGGTGACGTCACAACTCCGTCTCGTTGTGAGAACCACTTGCGCAAGTTGTTTCATCGTTTGCAGGTGGAGGGTAACATTTTGAACTTTTTCAGCTGGAGAATCTGCTGTTGGATAGCAATGGGAATGTGAAACTTGCTGACTTTGGGTTTTCAAACTTCTTCTCCTGGGATGGTTTGTGTTTCATTTTCATTACAATATCTTCCACTATCGTTTACTTTTTGATTCAAGATTGCTATGCTAAGGCAGCATTCATTGATCCCAGCTAACGATGAGTTTTCAAAGGTACCAAAATCACAATCAACCGAAAAACAATTATCCTTCAACTGATTGAAATGTATTTGCTCGAGTGGTTACGTTGAAAGCACAATTATCATTGCATGTTATATTATATATAAATGGTTAAAAATCAGGACTATAAATTGAGGGGAACCACTTAAATACGTCGTTGATATGATTAACTAATTACAACACTACAAATCTATTACATTTATTGAGAATTATGTAATGTAACGTGATGGAAATATTTTAAACGGGCATATCCTGTCCAAACCCAGGATGCACTACATGAAGAATTCGTTGTAACTTTGTTTGAAAAGCATTAATAATATAATATTATATAGAAGAACAACGTGACAATTTCAACCAGGCTTATAAAGTGTCAATTCTCAGTAATAGTAGCCCAAGAACTCTAGAAGTGGATGAACACCGTTATATTCAGAAACTAAGAACTATACGTCCATTGGGGCTCAATGCCGTGGACCCGTTTGGGATTCCATTATTGGATTTATCTTAAAGGTTTTCCATTGCATTGGGGCACAAAAGTTATGTTTTTAAAAATATTCATAGGTATCGTTTTTAGTTGTGTCATTTCATTTCCAATGTTACATTTTGTAGGAACTGATATTAACCGAGTTTCTGATTCAGGATGTTACTGAAGATAGTAATGAAAATGTTTTAACACCTCAGTACTGTGTTTTACTACAGCTCAACCTGCTCAGTCTGACTATTTGGGAATTTAAACTCTTAATATTATATAGTAAATATGAAATACTATAGTATCAATATAATCAGTTTTTACTAAATGGCTTTTACACATTTTGTAGCTTTCCCTGCAAATTTAACCACAGAAGAAGCAGCAAAAAGTAACAAGGTCACACAACTGAGACAGACTAAACCCACAGCCACACACTTGCTCCTCATTGGTTAATACCAGTCGCGTGGGCAACTTCCTGCCTCCTGATTGGTGGATGTGGCGAATAGTTAGCAAATCAGAGTGTGTTCCGCCGTTTTGCTTATTAACCATTCAATTAGAAAGCAGCTGCACTTCTTCAGTTCATTATTGAGTTAGGCAAGGTGTCATACAAATGGTAGTTACTCTAATTCTACTAAGAGCAACTTTACCATTACCCAGCTACTAACCAATATTATATGGTAAATTATTAAATATGTTTGTTTATTGTAATGTTAGATTTGAGAATGTGGTTCATTTGATCGATATGTGGGATGGAAAATGTATGATAACAGGCGTAAAACTAACACAGTTAAGACAGTTTGAATTGTCAGACGTGTGGAAATGTTAGCCACATTCCGCATTTTCACTAGTTTCTAGACGAAATGTCAAATTTATAAAGCAAGAATTATTAAGCTTCAGAATTCTCTTTTTTTCTTTTCTTCAATATTTTGGTTGAGAGGTTTATGATACTTTATGTCTTGATCGGCTTAAGAAATCCATAATCCCTGATTAATTTTATAGCTAACAAAGTTATTTTGATTTCTAGGATCGTTTAATTATCTTCAGAAAACCACCAAATACAGAATTTAATTAACAATTTTTGTTTCCCTCATATTAGCGGATCTACTGCATATTTAATATACATAGATTTCAATACTGAATTTTTCTTTATTTTCCAAAACGATTTTAGCTTAATTCTTCTTAATTTAAAACTTCTCAACAAATTGGGACTTATTTTCTGAGAATTAAAGGAATTTTACATTGTCTTGTCGCAGGTAAGCTTAGTACGTGGTGTGGAAGCCCTAGTTATGCTGCTCCAGAGATTTTCGAAGGCAGGGAATACATTGGACCTGAAGTTGACATATGGGTATGTTCCGTGATGTAACTATAATACTTTATGTCATTACATATTTAATCACATGAATTTGAATTTTCTGCCTTTACTCGTTTAAACCTTTCTCAAATTCAAAGTAAAAGAACAAAGCTTAATATGATTTAAAAAACCGGATGATGCGCATAATGCCTTGTTAGTGCTAGAAGGCGTGAACAGTATGTACGTCTAGGTGCTGTTGTTTTAAATTTCTGCACAAGTAATACGGTTATGTTCAGTTAAACTAGACTTAGAGTTGTAAGTGCTAGAATTCATTATACCATTAGCTCTGCAGCACAATGCCAGTACAGTGCCAGTACAGTGCCAGTACAGTGCTAGTATAGTGCCAGTATAGTGCCAGTATAGTGCCAGTACAGTGCCAGTATAGTGCCAGTATAGTGCCAGTATAGTGGATTATAGCACCAGCTACCCCAACCTCGCAACCCTTTGGCTCTCTGCCAATTATTGCAGCTCTTTCCATTCCTACAATTCCACGCACAACACGATTTAACTAACCGTAAGGTCGTACACTACACTCGTAACGGTTGGACGCCTCACACACAAGCTACAGATCCAATATCGATAATTCAGAAATTAACATAGACTTACGCTATGAATTTTTCGAATTTTGTATTTCCCATCGTACGTGATTCGAAGGATTTAATTTTCTTCTTGTTCCGGGCGTGACATTTATACTAGGAACAGGTTGGAAAATTTGATTATATTAAACACCGAATATTATTTATTGTGGTTTAAGTCTATGGAGTAGCTAAGGATCCATTGGATCTATGCGATATCCTCGGTAACTCAGCCGTATGATAGGAAACTTAATTGAGGGTTAAATGAGGAGGGGTACCTGTTAAAAGTTCAAGAAACTTCCTAGGATACCCCTTCAGTGCATACTGTAAACATACTGCTATTAACTATTAACTATATTATTAAGTTTTTTAAATCTGGGCTCTGGCGTGACTCATTATTTACATTTTGTCAGAGATTGCTCAGAAACTCAAATTCATCAAATCCTTGGTATAGATCGTATGTGTTTTTAGCGTCAGATAAAGCTAGATTTCTGAGGATATCAATCTCAATTATGTCTGCCATCCGAAAATTCAATTTATCTGATTGTTTTCATCAAGCAGAAATTACGATTGTCCTGTCATTTTAAACATTTTTATGTACATACAAATACAGCAATCAATTAATAAAACAGCTTAACAATCAATTATTTTAACAGCATAACAATCAATTATTTTGACAGCAAAATCAAACAATAGCGATTTAATATTCAATTAATTATGCAGCAAATGCAGGCGTCCCCTCCAAAATTTTCTAGTTGGTGGGCGAAAAAAAAGGTTGATCTTTTGTGGCGTCCCCCAAAGCTTTTTGTCATCTCTTAAAGCTTTTTGGCACCCTCTAGCTCTGATACATGCAGTGCTTTGTACGCCTAAATTACAGTATAATCCAATTACAAATTAATTAATTATAACATTTCAATTAGTAACCTCGTTAGTTATACAATTAGTTGCTTATTATCTTGTTTCAGAGTGCCGGGGTGGTTCTCTACACGCTTGTGTCCGGCTGTCTCCCGTTTGATGGGGCAAATGTACAGGAGCTAAAACAACGCGTTATCAAAAAGATATACAGAATACACTTCAGAATTTCAGAAGGTAAGCAGTATTGTATTTTTATAACTTTTCCGAAAGGAATTTCAAAATATTCAGAGAATTTTCTACCGATTACAATTTCGGATGTACTGCTGATAATAAGTTCGCGGTCTGTCTTTTATCAAAGAAACTTAATGCTCACAGAGTGCCGGGACATAATAAGCAAGATGATAGTTTACGAGCCTTCAAAGCGGCATTCGATACCTAAACTCAGAGAACACTCGTGGATGCAGAAAATCAAACAGCAGGTAAGATTTCGATCTGAAAATACGGCGATTTACTGAACATCGGGAATGTGGGACAAACGGCGTCTCTTTTGCCAATTTTATGTAAGGCGCGAAGAAGATTTTGCTTATTAGAGTGTAAAATGTCGAACAGTGGTTCACGTGAATTTATTTCAACTCTTTTTGGATTTGTAAATTCCGTCGATTCACCACTAACTGAGCCAGGTATATAACTCAATTAAGACAATTAAGCCTAGTAAAAAGGCTAATTTATCTTTGTTTAATGACTTTAATTTCAGAGCCCTATTGTGAAACCTCAAGGTGCAGACGACATCAACAAAGTTCGGGAATACGTCATAAGGAACCTCAAAGCTAACGGAGTTGATTGGCAGTCAGTTTTAGAGGTTTGAGGAGAGAAATTAGTCCATAAATCCTCTTTTGGCGTTTTGCGTACAGAAAAATCGCTCAAATCTTTGTAAGTTAACTTTTTATTATTTCAGCAATGATTGCACCAGATACCTGAAATTATTTTCGTGTTTCAGGCGGCAAATCAACGCAAGTTCGATGATTGGTATGCGATGTACTGCATATTAGAGGATCAATATTTCAAGGAGGTCAAAACTGCAAGCAACATTCCCCCAACCCTCCCATCAGGTTACAAGATAGTCCTGAAATTTTATTATGAAAGTTACTAAAGTAACTTATGAAAAATAATTTCAAATAAAATGAAGATAGTTTGTGAATGTGACACATAGTACATAGTGTCTAAAACCAGTGCTATTTCAGAAACTCGTGCGTTACCATCATCTATATGGTTTCCCGAGCTGCAGCAGCAAAGTGAAACACTCCGACAAGCTCGAGATTGGACATGCCGGGACCTGGCTAAGGTTCCTCTCTCCCTTTCCTCCAAATCCTCCTTCGGGTAAAAGCACCTCAAAATACTTTGTATTTACGTAGTATTTTATGTTAATTAATGATAACACTTCTGTGAAATAATCTGTGCCAAGAGCCAACCCTATATTATCTAGATCGTACACTGCTGATTCTGGTTCTAATTATGTTCACGTGACATTTGTAGGTTTTCTCCTTCTTGCATGTTTCGCATTCATTTGTGATGGACCTACTTGAGTTTGTGCACCGATTGTCTCACGGAAATAAAATTTATTTCATTTCAACGATAAATCTAACGTTGTTATTTAAGTCAAACAAATGATACATTCTGACATAATCTGTTGCGAACAGAATGCTACACCACGCACTCGTTTTACTGACGTGAATGTTAACAGGTCATCTCAAATGGAGCCGGCACAGCGGTTGCGGACGATCAGTGGACAACACGACACGCAGCTAGCACTACATCAGCAGTACCTGAACTACAGACGCCACTCTCTCGATATATTCACCTTTCAGAACCCTCACATTCGCAACCACCTCACCTCTTCTAATGTAAGACATTTCAATGCTACACGTCTTAGTGCCATTACCTTAATTAAACCCATTTAATTTTGAGATTTTGGGATTTTAAAAATATCTATTATCTATATCCGTAGTATGTCGAAAGAGTTATTTTTGACCCACTACGCGACAGTCACGCAGTATAATATTTCAGTTATCGACTACAAACGATTTGCTGCGGACCCCTCTGAACAACTTCACCAGTGATTTAGCTGCACGCCGCGCATCAGACAGCATCGCTTTGCATTCGAACAGAGTTATGACTGAACAATCAATACCTCCTCCAAGCTTCATGTTCTATCAGGAAATGTGTAAGTTTACTGATATCCACTTGAGACGATTTTTCTAGATCCGGGAAAAATTTTAAACCAATAGATTTTCACTCAGGCCTTCTTTTGAGTACATCTCTACACGATAAAGCAATCAAGCCCTTTTTAAGTTTGGCAGCCACCAATATCGATAATGGCAAAGTATTCCAATTAATGGAAGAGTTTGGAAATGATCTAGATTTATAAATCCTTTATTTGCTGATAATAAAAAGTGATGACCTCAGGTAAGCCAGATCACCAAAAGAAGACTGTTGAAGAGCCGGGCGAGAGGTTCCTGTCGAGTATACCACCCCGTGTTAAGAACCACCTATGTGAGTCATGTGCACAATTCACCTATTTTAACATTATTTGTATTCATTTAGCTAGCAACACTCCATTTAGCTAGCTTTGTAATTTATCTCCTACTGTCACCAACACCGAACACGTAAACCAACTTAACTTCAATCCATACAATTTTGCTCAATGATTGGAAAAAATTAAGATATCAGCAATCAGCATGTACTGTGCAAAGTTATTATATTGGCAAAGTTGGTTATTTTGAACTTTATATTTACATCTTTTATGTTTCAGCACGTCGGGCAAGTGACGGTCACATAACATTCAACAAGACTCCAAACTTGGACTCCTTGCAAGAGCTTCCAGGGCAAGAGGTAAAGTAAAGTACATAACATTCATTCAACGTCACGACCCAATTATGAACGTTTACCGCTTATTACTTATATGATTAAAAAACAATTTTTTCGATCGACAGACGTCAGTCATGGATTTTTGGTCCATTTTCCACAAGTGATAGGGTTGCCCTACCCCCAATAATATCATATTATTTCTGATATTCTAATTTTCTACCATTTCAGCACGATTCAGAGGAGATGCTGCCAATCCCATCCTCATTTCAACTGTCACCCCGTCAACAGCCCCGTAGACACTCCTTTGAGCCGAGTATCTTATTGCCCCATATGGGCTCCAGTGCCAAGAGTGTCACTCTCCAGCAGCATCTAGAGGTTCGCTTAGTTTGTGTTTATTTTTTCTTGATTTTAAACGCGATTCACGATCAGGAATCGGAATGTCTTTGATTTTTTGTTGAAATCTATTGATATATGCCGCGTGCGCCGCGTAGATGTCAGATTTCCTATCAGATTATATAAAAATTATCGCTTCTTTGGTATATTCCGTCTGATACTTTAATTATTAGTATTTGAAATTGTTTGCTGACTTTGTCTGCAACCCAGGAACTGGTCGTAGGGTTAACGGTGCAAAGTTGTATCGACTTATTAGACAAAGAATCGTGCAAAACATTAGAAAATTGATGTCGCCAAAATTGCTCTACTTAGCAATTTTAGGTTCATGCCTGGCGGAAGGGAAATTTTAAAGTTGTAGTACACGTTTTTGAGTACCGTGTCACCGTGTGTCAGGATAATTCAAAGCTGAATTATGTACAATGTATTATTATAATTATCGTATTGTACTCATCACTTTTCAAAAAGAACTTTCTCGTGTTACGTCCATGATATCCAAGTTGCAAGTATAATCCATACTCCATAGTGATTATACTTGATCGAGATCTAAGCTTTAATTATTCGAGGTGAAAATGAGGCTAACCACCTTTTGAGAGGGTGAAATAAGGCTAATAAGTATACTTTTCTATATATTTTCGAGCAGGTTTGGTATTGTGACTATCTAATGTGTCAACAATAATGATTGATTCATCCTCTTCAAGCTCGATATTTCAGAAATCGCCGAGTCTACTTGTAGGACGCCAAAATGAGGCTAATAAAGAATTCGAGTTTTCGACCGCATTTTTACTTTAATCTACGGAAACATGTTATAGACCCACTAATAAACTTGTTATTGTAGCCTGCAGGTTATTGAGACTTTATCATAACTTATGTGGCGAAATTGGGGCTAACAGATACTGTTGATCTTCATTCCCTAGATATTGACTGTCACAACTCACAAGTTACTTGATATCCATGTTGCACAAGAAATTCCTTGGGATTATACTTAATCAGTTAATCGATATATCTAAGCTTCAAATATTCGAGGTGAACATGAGGCTAACCACCTTTTGAGGGGGTGAAATGAGGCTTTCCAACAATTTGAAGGGCTAGTCCGAAGAAGCAGTAGAACAAGTAATGAACAAAACCTTGACAGTTAGCCTTATTTTATCCTCCATCAAAAGACAGAAAGGGTAGGCGGAGTCTACCATCGACCTAAAGTATCCATATAATGTATACCAGGGCAAAGGATAGTTTAAAGGACGTTATTGTTCAAACATAATTCAAAAATTAGAAATGATCTGTTAGCCTCACTTTACCCTCCATTAAAAGGAAAAAAGGAGTCGACTGGGCCGGCCTTCGACCTAGAGCATCCATCTCACGTATTTTAGGTCAGAGAATACTTTGATAGACGTTATTATTCAAATATAATTCAAAAATTAGAAATGACTTGTTAGCCTCATTTTCCCTCAATTAGCGAAAAAAATTCCCCTCTTCTCTTCGGATTCTGAAAGAGTTCGATCTGATGAATCGTTTAACCTTACTAATACTATACTTACATTCATGTTTAATAGCAATTTCCAAAGATAATGGTAGATAATTCTGAAATTTTGTGCTTGACAAAAAAATCTGACCGCAGTTACAAGTACATTTCTTTCTTGATTATTACAAAATGTTTCCATTTTTCTGACAGAAATTATGAACGGATCAATCCTGAAAATTGAAAAAAAAAACCCTGTTTGTCGCCATTCTTAGAAACGAAAAAAACGTCTTGGCAGGAAAAATTACGGCCAGACAAATTAGGGCCCTTATTCGTTAAGTTATGTTAGAATTACCATGATTGGTCTCTTTAGTTTTTGTTTTCGTTACAATTGTTAATATTGTTTTGTTCTACATTAAATGAACTAAAGCAGTGCGAGAAATTTGAGATCATTTCCTATTTATATCTTAACCTGGGTTATTTAACAAGAAGATAGAAGCCGTTTAGATATGTCCTAACCATTTTATCCTGGAGACTAGCAAGGGTTAAAGTATTAAGTTTGTTGCGTAAGAACTTTAAATATTTACATACTCTACAATTTTGTCTGATCGTATGGATATTGAGATATAAATCTTATAACGTTTGACGTCAATTTACGCAAATTCGAGGGGTTACCTCCAGCAAAGCTTTACTTTTAACAGCAATCCAAACGATTTAAACTTAAGAATCAAAATTTATGGCACTTTATAGAGTTCGGAGCATCATCTAAAATATAAATTATTCATTCAACTTAGATGAGCATCTAGAATTATCGATTAATCAAAAAATTCGATTCCCTGCTCGTTAAAAGAGCACAGAAACAACAGCTCTCACGTCCTAACTCACAATCTCTAGGTAGTGGAAGAGGAAACGTGCTCTGAAATACGACTACAGTCCCCCATTTCGTGCCTTGCTCACGAGCTCACCTCTATCGTTAACTTACACTAGTGGTGCTAATGTCTTAGCGCTAAATTGCGCTCCCAATACACAGATCAGACAAAGCAAATCTGGCGCATCAATTTTCTAGTGTTTTGTGTTTGGAAAGGTGAGCGGTCGTCCCTCGCTGACTCGCGCTGGTTTATCCTTGGGATGGTGGACTTTAAAACAAATCGTAATCACTTTGTACATCCCCCGTTTTTTTCCAAGACTTAGATGTTAGTTCGATCTAAACCGCGGAAAAATTGGCTAAAGAAGAATCGAAATGAGACGCTCTCAAGACCAAGAATAAAGTTTTCAAATTACAATATTGCCGCAGTAATAAGTTGGCAAGACTATATTCTCAGTCCCTTCAGTGATTACGGTTTGTATCAACGTTCCGTCAATGTCACCCGCGCTCATCTATGTAGTTGGTGCTGAAAAACATTACACATACGAGAGGTTGCAATCCAAAAAACCCTAATAGTAATAAAACACCCCCATTGTACTGTCGCAAACTTAGTTAGGATTGGGATGTTTTGGGGTTTTTTGGTTGTAACTCCTTCTATGAGTTTACGGTTTGCAGTTTTGTCTGAACTCGGAAAATATTTGATGGGTTTATAAAATGTTGATATCATTTTAGGAACTGCTTGCATGTTTATTCAATTTCTTTAATCGTCGCATTGGGTGTTGATTGTCTGCTCCGTTATTTTACTGATTTATCAAGAATAACTCTTGGAAAACTCTTGGATAAGACGGGTCAAATATAACTTTTTTCTCTGGCCAATCCCATTCTACTACTTGCTCAGAATGTTTCTCATCTCAACAACTTCACGTGATCAAAGTAAAAACGATTAATTAAAGTACACGTTGCTTAATTAAACCCTTTTTTCAGAGTTTGTACGAACAGGCGCTGTACAAGAATCAAACTGAGGAGAGTGAGACATCTTCTGAGTCGGAGACTATGAACACTGACTACAACTTCCAACAGGTGTGTAATTGTTTCGTGATCGTTTTTAATCTAATTTTCTAATTGTTTTGTCCACTAACTAAAATAATTTCTCTTCTCATTATCTAATTATTACAGTTGTATTTTTAAAGAACTTTTCAGCCAGGGGCTTTTAATTCCAGCTGCAATTTTTAGTTTCCAGAATTACACCCAAGGTTAATTTCAGAGGAATCTTGGAAGCAGACTTCAAGACCTGCACATAGAGTCGAATAACGTGGAACAATGGCGGCACAAAAACTCTCACTATATGAACTGCGTGGAAAACATGGAGGTTTGTGTTGTGATGACGTCATGTACATTTGGTGATGTTACGAGAGTGTGTTGAGTGGAAGATCTGGGTTGTGAGCCCAATCAGAAAATTTGTTCGATTTGGCACCAAAATAAGGTCTCACACAAATTTTGGAGGATCGCAAAAAATAAAGAAGCGGCGACAAATCGTAAGATTACGCCACTGATAACTTAGGGACCACAGGCTTTGTTGTTTTACGTTTTACAGCCACGTTCGAAGTGGAAAGAGAAGTTGGCGCCGTCCTGTAAGTCACTGATCGTACCACAGTGACATTTTTCATGTACATTCAACGAGATTATGCTTTCAAATTTCAATTCTTTCGCTAATTTATTTTCAATTAGTGTGAAAATTTCACAAAACTTTAATTGCTATCATGATTTCAGGACATGCCTATCGACACCAACATTGCGGAGGAGGAAGTGAGACTTCCTCGTCAAGTTTCAACCGCTAACATAATCTCTGATCAATCCGCTCGGGATATCTTGAACTTCGTGGAATCGTACTTCATGAAGTGAGTTTGACGATTATGGACCTAATTTGACCTTATTTGACTGCATAAAAACGTCCAAAACTATCAACATCCATCAAAAGTGAATTATCACAGCTGACAGCTGTGCGATTGGCTTATTAATTATTTGTTAACTAACAAAATAAGCAATGACAGCTGTAAAATATATAATGATCGAATGGTAAGTGTTATACATATTAAATAACCTATTATTAACGCTTATTTGCTAGCGTTTCACCCACGCCGTGCCTCAATACCGATGGGTTTGCTATCCGTGCCAGTTGGACTGAACTAGAAATCTTCGCCGAGGTAAGCATTCCATCTTTTGTTTGGTCGAGCAACAAAAACTCTCGGCAACTTTACAGTTTTTTATTCTGTTGAGTGATAATGTACTTTTGTCACGATACTTATCATTTAATTAATCAAATAATTAATTAAATACCAATTACCAATGTATGATTAAATAAAGAAAATTTTCCTACAGGTATGCTCGGTGGGTTGCAGGAGCGGAGTACAGCTCCAGCACATAAGAGGTGACCATTCTTACTACGCTGAAGTCTCCCGGAAACTCATATCCTCTCTCAGTGCCGCCAGGTGACGGCATCATCGCAAGATTGCGTCAATGTAACGTGACGTCATAACTTCAATTCGAGAAATCAGCGTCAGCAAGGAAGTTGATGAAGCGATGTGTACGTGTGAGAGGTCAAGAACTCACTCAGTAATACGTCATGACGACGTTGACTGACGTCAGTGTACCGTGGTTTGACGTCAGTTTGTGACGTGGTGTTGTTTAATATTTTAGGTATAGTATGGGGTTATATTACTCTTGACAGTGGATACTATCAGCTAGGATATAATTATTTGAATCTTCATTATCGCTCCGAAAATGAATCCATCACGATTGCAATGCTTGACTAAAATGAACGCCCTAATCGTTCGAAATGTCCATCATAAATCTGCAAAAAGATATGAAGATTTGCTTGAACAACTGTTGATGATGATATTAAGAGGATTGTTATTATTCGAGTTAAAGAGACATTTTCTATAGAGTTTACCATTGGATGTTTTGATATCTCACTATCACAGGCAGAGGTTGGCTTATAGATAGTAATTCTTATGAGGGAAGAAACAAATTTTAATTTGATTATTTAAAGCTCATCATGACTAAAAATTTTAATTAAATTCAGGTCTTGAACAGTATTGATATAACGCAATATTTTAAACGAGCTCGTCAAAAGAGTAATTCCAATACACGGACATGTTTATCTCCTGGATGTAAGACACGGACATGTTTATCTCCTGGATGTAAGACACGGACATGTTTAATGTTTTATCTCCTGGATGTAATATTCGAACGATCCCTAACCACGGTGTTATGCCCTACTTTTAGTATTCATGGCACAATTGCTGCACAGCACAGTATCTGCGCGGTAAAATTGCTGCACAGCACAGTGTCTGCGCGGTACAATTGCTGCACAGCACAGTATATACGCGGTACAATTGCTGCACAGCACAGTATCAGCACGGTACAATTGCTGCACAGCACAGTATCTGCGCGGTACAATTGCTGCACAGCACAGTATATACGCGGTACAATTGCTGCACAGCACAGTATCAGCACGGTACAATTGCTGCACATCACAGTATCTGCGCAGTAAAATTGCTGCACAGCACAGTATCTGCGCGTTACAATTGCTGCACAGCACAGTATCAGCACGGTACAATTGCTGCACAGCACAGTATCTGCGCGGCACAATTGCTGCACAGCACAGTATCTGCGCGGTACAATTGCTGCACAGCACAGTATCTGCGCGGTACAATTGCTGCACAGCACAGTATCTGCGCGGCACAATTGCTGCACAGCACAGTATCTGCGCGGTACAATTGCTGCACAGCACAGTATCTGCGCGGTACAATTGCTGCACAGCACAGTATATACGCGGTACGATTGCTGCAAGTCATGATCGCTACGGTCTTGGCGTGGGGTACTTCTTGGAGTTGAAAAACTTTAAAGCACATCTATTTTGCGATAAACTGATCATAATTTTGTAATACCGTGGTCGTTACATTGCAGTGATGCACGCCGGACGCCGCCGCGCCGGCACGTTTTCACATGCCGCCACGCCGATACCTCTCAAGTCGGCGTGGCGTGAAAGGAAATAGAAAGAGTATGGAGCCAGTCGGGGTTGATTTTGAACTCTAGGAGATCCAAATTGTCCAACGACAATGTTAAGAATTTGGTTTTTCTTAAATATAATTGTAAAAACCACCAAATATAATTGTAAAAGCCACACTTATTACATCATTATTTCATGCACGCACGTACGCCACAATTTTTGTGGGCCTGGAAATTCAAACCTAAATTTTGACAAAATTATGTTCCACGCCGCCGAACGCCGCCACGCCGGGCCATTTTGGGCACGCCGCCGCCGGTTGGCGAAAAATGAACCGGCGTGCATCACTGTTACATTGATTGCGCGGCTCAGTTGAATTTTGACGCTAGAATGTGATTCTTAATCTGTTTATAGAAATAACAACTGAAATGGAGACCTGAGACGATGTAGAATGCACCCTTGATTTATAACTAGTTTCTTGGGTAGCTAGTTTACATACTCTTTGAGCCAAGTGATCTTTTCAAACTAGCAGTTTTTTTCAGAACTCTGCCGACCAGGTTTCTATTTCAATACAGAAAAGTATTGGGACGTTATTATTAAACACGTGATATATAAGTATGCACAATTATCGTTGGGATGGCTATTTTGAGAGAGAAACACGGTACATTAAATTACCATCGTAGCACTTATTGTTGAAGTCACCTAAAGATCCACTTAAATGCTTAATTTATCACACATACATCATGATTTATTACAATTTGGTAGTATTTAACTATTTGGTATAACTCCCGTTTCCTTTAAAGTACCTTCTTAAGGGGGGGGGGGGGTGAACCCCCCCCCCCCCCCTTAAAACGTAAGTAAGATCAATAGGGATAATTTATCGAACCATCTTATATTCCATAGACCGATGGATTTCAAACCCAATCATTTGTTCGGGTTCAGTTTTTGAGAAGAGTGTTTATTGAACACATTATATCATAGGCAATATAAGTAAGTTAATGTGGAAATTGATTTCCTTTGTTGTTAGTCGATGCGCCATGTAAGCTATTTGTAATTTGTTTGTGTCCATTGCCATGCTACTGCTAGAATTTTTATCTTTTCAGGTGGCGTTTAATTTAATTTTTCATTTATTCTTCCCGAAAATCTTATTTTCTGCACGATGGCTGGGATTAAGAGTGTTTGAGATTTCAAGAGCGTGAATTTATTTTTACCGTTTATACTATCCACCTACTGCCTCACCCAATATTTCACCTTTATCTCTATTCCCTGATCAACAGACCTCTCTTGATCGAGCTCATTTCTTGACATACCGGCCATTTTCGCGGTGTCATTGCACATTGCTGCTCAGCTGTATTTCACATCTCTTGGAACCTCGTATGAATATCACACTTTTGATTAAATGAATGATAAATTAGTAAATTGATGAATTAGTTAGTTAATTATTTGCACCAAATGTCGTTACCATCAGCCCATTTCTATAACTTATTAGGATGGGACCTCATACCCTTCAGAAAATGTGAACTCCATTGTGAGGAGATAGGTTAACAGTGATTTGTATTTAAAGGTATTGAATTGATAATTCAGTTTAAAAGATTTGTAAAAACCCTTATAATGATTATTATTATAGTTGTAATTCTAGTATGTAAACTGCAAGATATTTATTTTATTTTTAAATAGAAAAACTCTGAATCGCCCATTTCATTTCATCGTTTGGGTAAATAATTTGACGGATGTTACTCGTCTAAATTTCTTCGAAGGATTGAGTACCTAAATTAGGTGCTCAGCTTGTAATTTAGTGGTATCTGGCGGGGGTGGTGTCTCAGTCTGCTACAGTTACACTTTTTTACACCATACGTAATTGGAGAAAATTAAGCAAAAGTGTAGTGTTAATACAAAATTAGTTAAACGGATAATACTTTACCTGGGGACCCAGGCTATTATGTTCATAAACATAATTGATAATGAATAAAGATTCGGCGGAATGACAGGCTGAGCGCCGACCAGTAAATAATACTCGTATATATTTGTTACAAAGCAGAGACCGCCGACTTAATTGACGATGTCAATTCAGGATGATGATTAAACTAATCACTCTACACTCGACTGTCACGTGACTTTTTAAACACGTTCTCTTGGTGGCCCTGAATGATGCATGACTATTCGAAATCATAGCCCTCTAATCTGATCCTAACCCTAACCCAATCTCTAACATTAACAAAAGCATATGCTGAAATCTTAACCCTAACGAGAAGAATTAGACTAGCTTCCGTATACTATGGTCATATCACGTGATTGATACAGTTTTTCGCCAATATCTTGTAGCGCGATGCGTTACTGTGCCGCGCCGCGCACTCAATAATGCTTCTCACAGCGACAGTAACGTGAATTCCAGTTTTCCAACTCCCAGCTGCTGGGAGTTGAAACTACCGAAGCGCATTTTTATTTGAATTCTATTTGGAGTCGAGCGCTACGTTATACTCTTATATATAGCTCGTTTCAAGACGAACTCTTCATTTGTTCAGTTTGTCTTTCGATTACGTTTCTACTTTTATTTTAAATCGTGTATGCGAATCTTCTTCATTAATCTTATGAACCAGCTGATTTTCGTAACGGAAGAGATATCAAGAATCTATCTTTTGAGCTTTAGTTACGTTTCTTCTCAATTTTGATAGAACATGGAACAGTTGTCGTTTTAGAACTAAGAACCTATTGTGTTTTGTAGTAATTAAGCAATCTTGGGCTGAAACCATTTAATTCATTAATTCCGTATGATCTATTACTCAGCAAATTGAAGGTCAGGAATCTTTTCATTTACATTGGGAACGGTACGATTACCAGCTTATTAAGCAAATACAGAAACTCGACTGACTTGTTTGAGTTTGTGTAAGTTAGTTCAGTTACTAGAAACTAATGTCCTCTTTTACAGGAACTTCAAAACTGTCAACGTCGGTTTAAATGCTTTTATACAGAAACTAATTTAATATATGTACATATATATATATATATTGTATAAGGCCCTTATAATAAAGGTAAGTCAAGATCACTGTCCAATTTTGATATTTCAATTTTCAATCATTGATTTATGAAGTAGCATGGTTGTTGAATGTTGAAATTGGTTTAATAGGCTTGTTCGACTATTTTATAGGTTCTACTTCTGAGCAGCATAGGCCGATCATAACATATTTCCCCAAAATATCGTATTTCAATATCATTAATATATGTCAAGAGATACATTACTATGTTACCAGGCCGGCTGTTCGGATTAGTATCCATTATTGCTGAGATTAATTATACATGGTGAGTATATTGACCAATACCAATCGTTTAATCGGTATTTACCTATTATCGGTGTCGTATTTTCAGCTAAATATTAAACAATCGAAACTTAAAAGGACCGTGGCCGTAATTTTGTACCCTCCTAGTCTTAGGTTATCACACCCCTATTTACCTCTTAATCACAGCCTAAATGTAGGAGTCATACAATAACATGATTATCGCTTGGGCAAGTTACATTATATTAGCCTCCTCAGGTGAGCAGTCATGTAGATATATATTAGCTGTATTCGATTTAGGTAAGAAGTCACAGAAACTTGGAAGCTGATTTATTTGTATCTCTCCTAGTTCTGTGTAGGCTGCATTAAGGTTAGATGCTAGGGATACAAAATACTTATATTGAATTCATTAGCTATAACTCTGCGATCAGTTATCTTTTCATTGTCTATGGTAAATATAGGTCTGATATCACGTTTCTGTTTGCCACGAATTTTATTTATCAGTTCCCAGGTTTTCTTGGAGTTTCCCTGAGTTTCAAGAAACTTGTCAGAATAATATTCAGATACAGCCTTTTTACGAACCTTTTTTAGAGCCTTTCTATATTTCTATATGTAGTCATCATAACGGTATCTTTTATTACAGCAGATAGAACACAGGCATGTGCCCCCTTTTGTGTCAGTTTCGCCTTGTTTACACTTAACTTTCCTGACTTTCGCCCAGTCATCATACAGTCCATGGCAGTGGTTTACTGAGGCTATAATCCCGCCAGTAATCTAGGGGTTGTTCTGGATAGTGCGCTTAGTGGTTTTGGGTACAGCTAGTTTGCAGGTTTCGTCAATGCTGTTTTTAAAGATATCATGAAAGTTAGTAAAATCTATAATTGGTTCATTGTCTAGTTTGTATTGCATCACTTGATTTAATTGAATGAATATATAATACTGTTTGACACACTTCCTCTTGTCTAGTTTGTTACCCAAGACTTCAGCAAATTTATCAGTGTTTGATTTATAATAGTCATAATATTGAGTGTGCTTGTGAATATTTTTGGTCTTGCTAATTTCCCAGTCAAATATTGTAAATATAGGGAGGTGGTGAGATAATATGTGATCAGTTATGACATTAGGGCTGGAGTAGATAAGAAGTTGTTTTATCATTTAATAACCTGAATTTGTGTAGTCGATAAGATTTTGTTACCTTTTGTACTTTCATGCTTATTAACACTGCAGCATGAGATTAGTATCCGCTCTGAAACCATAGTGTATAGCGTGTGTATTCTACGATGTTGCCCACATAAAACAAACATACGGGAGCCCTTTCAAATCGTAGGTTGTGTTTTAGTACGGCTGAGGCATTGTGAAATGATGATCAACACGACAGAATCAGAGAAATACTCTGAAACAATTTCCTAGGTTGACATGACTT